AGCCTCCATGAAGACAAAGGCAAGAATAATGTAAACTTAGAGACAGAAGGTTTAATCTGCAGAGCAATGACTCTTCATGCCAAAATGTAAATTTGTATGTCCAAAACAAAACAAAACAGAACAAAGTGAAATGACCAAATCTGAGAAGGTAAGTACAATGGCAAATAAAATCTATTTCTCTGGTAGGAACTGGACACTGCCTTTACAAACCCAAATTCTAATGTCAATTGGTCAGAATACTAAGCAGTGGTACATGTGTGCATGTAGTTATCGTCGCTGACTTTAACCTTTAACTTTGCCTTCCTGGTTGCATGAAATTCCTCTTACATGTACACTTATATTGACTGTGTGTAACTTTTGTTTTGTTAATGCGTGCGCTGATGGGAGAAATTACTCCACCTATGTGACAATTTTAGCAAGAGATCAACCTACATATTTTTGGCAATATATAAATTATATCACTTTCAAACTGGAGCAGCACAACAAACTGTATACTACATGAAAGATTATCACAGTAAGACTTGTTTTGAAAGGTACTAAGGCAGCTGCAAAAACAAAACCAGGAAAAAAAATCAGGCTTGAAGAGGATTCAAACATGATTACTTAAGGCTTTATTTCCCTACAGGTGTAAAGTTGCTTTCATAATGGAGGCCTTCCAAGGGGTTTTGTGGACAGGTGACACCGTGCGTGACAGCCGACAGAAACTAACAGAAAAAGGGTGATAATTTACAACAGCGATAATCCATTTTTAATTTTGAGAAAGCCACATCTTTTTATTGTGTCTTTTCACTTTTTTTGACAGCAACATGAAAAGGGCAACTTCCCACACACCACTGGGAGCCATGGCAAGCTGAACCATGCAGCCTGACCTTGATTAACATAACATCATAGCTGTCTCACAATAACACAAAAAAACGGCTAGAAAATAGTACTGTTTCACTTCAACTTAAAACATTCTAAAAATATGTCATGGGTGGGTGAGTGGGTGGGGCATGTCAGGCAATGACAGATGGCAAAACAAAAACTGAACTTTACACGAGCCATGTGACCTGAAAAGCCCCCACACGCTTGTACTCAGACTCCGAGCCACGTGTGAGAAAAAACATTTCACCCTTCTTTCGTTCCTCAGCCAGTGGGAAAGCACACATCACTCTTTATAAGCATATTGGAGATCAAGTAAAACCAATTTAGTAAGGGTAAGTTTCTGTAACTTAGCGATTTCTGTGACTTCTACTATCTTCTACTCAAGACATAAAACTTATATGAGGTTGATCTTCTAACACTAGTACATTGCCAAAATTTAGAGAAACAGTAATATTTATATCAACATGGTGGTACACTTCAGCAAAGCTGGGCTGTTTTCAGGAACCAGATTCATACATGTTTTTCCAAAGGAAATTCAATACTTTTCCCATACTTTTACCAAACCATTGTTTTTTTTTTTTCAGGCTAGGAAAAAAACAAGCACATTTAAAATACAACTAAGATGCACTTCAAATGCACAGTAGCAATGTAATAAGAATAACTTGACTCTGGGACAGGGTGGAGAGAGTTCTCAAGTCTCTGGATTCAACATTTTGGCTAGGACAAAATTTGACTATAACTGGCAATAACCTGGAATCAGGCATTTTTATTTTTTGCAATCTCTAAGTACCGGGAGGGAGGGTATGATCGCATGATAAGCTGGCAAAGAATTTTGTTTGCAAGTATGAAATTATCAATCAAGAAAACTCCAGACATTTTTCCAATCTTCCTGCACCTTAAAACTATATTTTCTGGAACTGTGTATACACCTGTTTCAACAAAGGTTGTCCCACACAAGCGTAAATGCGAATGCAACAATGCCGATTGATATTATGTCAATTATGGGTAGTAATAGTTTGGCATTCCTTGTTTGACGTTAACAGTGCTTCAGGAAGAAAAAGCATAAATATATGTGTTGTGCTGTGTCCCTCTGTCATGATGAAATGCCTTTAGCCTCAATCAAGCAACCATTGGTCACCATTACCCATAATACCTTTCAACATTGTCCTGTACGCTTTTTCACTTTCGTAGGACAACCTTTTCTAAAACAGCTGTACTCTGGAAACTAGATTGCAGATTTCCATAAGCTTACTTTCTGCAAGAATTCCAGACTCTGTACAAACCCTGGATGCAGTACATTTTTCTCCAGTAGTTCAAGTATATGATATTTCACATATTCAATTGCCTGACAACTACTGAGGCTTCACCTTTGAAAAAAAAAAACCGCTAAACAGCTACAGCTTTTCATGTATGTAGAGTTGGTTCAGGTGTTTAGCTAACAGGGTTCATTAAAATATGCTAATAGGAAAATACATGCTTAATCTTTTTAATTTACCGATATATTCATGTACAAATCACGGACGAGGAAAACGAATTTAACACTTGCTTCGGATTAAACAATTCAATTTTATGAAAGAAATATGACATCTGTTCTAGTCGATCTTTGGTTTAACAAATACGAATTAAAATATCATTCTTTAAAAAATTCACAAGCTAAGTGTGGCCGGATGGAAATATCAGCTAAATTAACGTTGGTCCTTGCATGTTCTAACAACCCACACGTAATCGAAAGACAAGATCTGCATGTAAAATCATTTTTCCATTATCTTACATCGGAAACCACCAAGAAAAACCAATCCTGTATGACTTATATGTCGATCAAGCAAACCCAGCAAAGAGCACAAAACAAGATTGACATTTTTAAAACCGTTCTTTTTCGGTTTATCGATTGTCCAAACGGTGTCGTCAGAATTTCTCAAAAATATGATAGAAATAAGACTACGATAAGGCGAGTAAATCATATTATCTAAATTTCAAATAAACTGAAGAGGACAACAGCGCTAAGAGCGATGGATGTTGACTTTGCTTACCTTCTGCTCAGCTGTCGGCGACTCTATTTTCTCAAAACCCGAAGCGGTTGGTTCTTCTCCAGAGTTCGAACTTGAACCTTCGGAAGTTCTCCTCCATAAATACCAGCTAATGAGTATCACTAGGAGGGCAACAACGACAG